AGCCGGAAGTGGTGCGGTGGCTCATGTGGTAGAGCGCTAGCCTTGAGCTGAAGAGCTGAGGGACAGCACCCAGGCCCAGAGTTCAGGCCCCACGACCGACCAAAAAAAAAAAAAAGAAGTTGGAAGTAGAGCTGTAGCCCAAGTGTCAGAGCACTAGCCTTGAGATTGCTGTGTGCAGTACACACCCAGCTCCTCAGTGTCTTCTTGGGCATTCCCGACACTGAGAATATGTGGGTGCTGTAACCCTGCGAGTGGTTTGAAAGTAGACAGGTTTCTCCTTCCCAAAAGGATAAAAAGCTGGTCATGACCTTGAATTGAGAAAACATGAAGCTGGGCACCAGTGGCTCACATCTGTAATTTTAACTACTCGGAGGATGAGATCTGAGTGGAGTTTCAAAGCTAGCCTGGGCAGAACAGTCCTCAAGATTCCATCTCCATTTCACTAACAAAATGGAGGCATGACTCAAGAGGTAGAGTGTCATCTAAAAATCTGTAGCTAGGATCATAGGCTTGAGCCATCACACCCAGCAGCAAGTAAGCATGCAGAGAGAGAGAGAGAGAGAGAGAGAGAGAGAGAGGGAGGGAGGGAGGGAGGGAGAAGGAATGTGTGAGGTCCAGAGTTCATTTCCAGAACTGCTTTGTAAAAACCAACCAATAAAACAAATAAAAGTAACCAAGAAGAGGTGGAGATGTGGCTCAAGTGTCAGAGCACCAACCTTGCATGAAAAACCTAAGCAAAAGCATGAGGCCTTCAGTTTAAATCTGAGAATCAGTGCATACATGTGTGTGTGTGTGTGTGCGCGCGCGTGCGTGCAAGCGCGCACGCGTAACACGTCCCAAGAAAAGGAAAAAAAGAAAGAAAAGAAAACATGAGCCATCATACCCTCAGCCAAACAAAGTCCAAAGTCTGGGGATGTAGCCCTTGGATTGAAGTAGAGCACATAATTAAACATCCATGGCATCCTGGATTCATTGCCTAGCACCAAACAAGTAAATAAGTAAATGTCTGTGATCATAGCTCAAAATCTCCACAGGTTGCTGCAAGCCACTTCCATTAACAACTTTACTTCTTCATTTATTAAAGACATCAGGTATTTCTTGTGTTTAGCCAAAAAGGCTGAGACAACCTTGGCCCATCTGAGCATCGTCCAAACACAGACCCACAGTGTGTGTGAGGGTAGAGTGTGTGATAGCATTTTCCTTCTTCAAATGAGAAGGCAACATATTTTCAAAGTGATCAAAGTTATGCCTTACTGGCATCATTCTTTTTCTTTTTTTAGTATTGGGGTTTGAACTCAGGGCTTTGTACTTGCTAGTCAGACACTCTGAACCTGAGCCATGCCCCTTAACCCTTTTTTGTTGTTTTAATTATTGTTCATACAGGCTTGTATGTTTGCCTGGACCAGCCTAGACCAAGATTCTTCCATCTATGGTCTCCTGGGTAACTGGGACTGCAGGTGCATATTACTTTATATGAGATGGAGTCTAGCTAACTTTTTGCCCAGGCTGGCTTCTAACCTTGAACTTCCTGATCTCTACCTCTTGCATAGCTAGGATTACAGGCTTGAGCCACTGCACCTAATAACATCATTCATTTATTCATTCTTTCTTTTTTTGTATTGGTCCTAGTGGGGCTTGAACTCTGGGTCTTACACTTTTGCTCTGTTTTTTTTTTTTTTTTTTTTGCTCATGGCTGGTGCTCTCCACTTGAGCCACACCTCTACCTCTGGCTTTTTGGTGGTTGATTGTAGATAAGAGTCTCATGGACTTTCTTGCCTGGGCTGGCTTCAAACCATGATCCTCAAATCTCAGCCTCCTGAATAGCTAAAATTATGGGAGTGAGCTGTCAGCATCTGGCTGAAAAGTCTCCCCCTCTCCCGCTTTTTGCCAGTACTGGTGCTTGACTCTGGGCCTGGGCACTATCCCTGAGCTGCTTTTGCTCAAGGTTAGTGCTCTACCACTTGAGCCATACAGAGCACCACTTCCAGCCTTGTCTATGATTAATTGACAATAAGAGTCTCACAGACTTCCTGACCAGGCTTGCTTCAAATCAAGATCCTAAGATCTCACCCTCCTGAGTAGCTAGGATTACAGGTGTGAACCACTGGCACCCGGTGAAAAATTTTCTTTTAAAACCCCAAAATGTTCCAGGTACAGCACAAACAGGTAATCCTAGCTACTCAGGAGCTAAAGTTCCCCATGAGCTGGCTATCTGTATGATAGCCTCCTTTCAAAATACAACACAAGGGCAGGGGGTCTTTTCGTGCCATGGTGGGTGATTAGCATGTTCCAGGCCCTTAGTCCAATCCTCAGCACCCCTAAAAATATACCAAGAGACTATTGAGTTACAGAGAACATAGCAGACTTCTTTAATATGTGGTTTCACTGTCTGCGATTTTTATTACCCTATGGTCAGCAGTAGTCTGAAAATATTAAATGTAGAATTCCAGAAATAAACAATTTGTGACTTTTAAATTTACATATTGTTGTGCACGGCTGGATGAAATTCGGTGACATCTTGCTCCGTTCTGCCTCGGATGTGATCATCCTTCTGTCTAGTATACTCACATTATATATGTCACCTGCCAGTAAGTCACACACAGTAGCCATTTTGGGTGTCAGGTCATTAGTCATGGTATCTTAGGGCATATGTAGCCCTTATTCTTCTAAGAATAGTACCAAAGCACCAGTGAGCTGGCAATTCAAGTATGCCAAAGCAAGACAGGAAGTACTTCCTTTAAGTGAAAAGCTGAAAGTTCCTGTCAATAAGGAAAGAATCATATGATAAGGTTGTATGGTCTATGGTTAAAAAGAAATTCAATTTTTTAACATAAATGTGTATACATATTTATATATTTAATGTTTTGGACAGATCTGGAGTTTTAACTCAAGCATGATGCTTACCACTTGAGCCATGCCGCTAGTCTACATTATTATTACTTGATACTGGGATTGAACCCTGAGCTTTGAGTATGTCAAGCATGTACTCTACAACACTCAGCTCCAGAGGGATTTTGGGTGTGTGTACATGCATGCACATGTGCAGGCAAGCATGTGTATGCAAGCCTGTACACAGGCCTGGGTGCTGTCCCTTAGCTTTTTAGCTTGATTGGCAATCTATCACTTAAGCCACAGCTCCACTTTGGGCTTTTTATTGCTGTTAATTGGAGACAAGAATCTGGTGGCTCATGCCTGTAATCCTAGCTACTCAGGAGGCTGAGATCTGAGGATCACAGTTCAAAGCCAGAATGAACAGGAAAGGCCATGAGACTCTTATCTCCAAAGAACAACTCAGAAAACCAGAAGTGGCGCTGTGGCTCAAGCAGTAGAGCGTTCACCTTGAGCTGAAGAGCTGAAGGACAGTGCCCAGGCCCAGAGTTCAAGCCCCATGACCAACAAAAAGAAAAAAAAGAATAAAGCCTGGGATGGCTTTAAACAATGATCCTTAGATCTCAGTTTTCTGAATAGCTAGGATCACAGGTGTGAGCCATGGTGCCTGGTCCCAGAGTGATTTTTTTTTTCTGCATAATTGTGAAGAAGTGAAAAGAAACTAGTGCTGGGCCTTTAATTTTTTTTCCTTTTTTCTAGTACTGAGATTGTAATTCAAGGCCTTGAACTCCCTCAGCTTGCTTACTTGGGTGGCACTCTACTACTTGCACAATGGCTACAGACTGGCTTTTTGATGGTTACTTTGGAAATGGAATCTAGCAGACTTTTCTTCCCAGGCTGGCCTTGAACCTCAGCTCTTTAGTCTTAGCCTTCTGAGTAGCATTACAGGGATGAGCGTGGGTGCCTGTGATAAAGCAAAATTGTAACACCTGGATCAGGTTCTTTGCCTCTGTGGTCTCAAAGAATGAGTCTACAGACACAGAGGGAGAAGTAAAATGGCAAAGACTTATTGAAGGAAACGGTAAGTTGAACTCCTGCTAGACATGAGGGGTCCCTAGGGAGGGCACCACCTGGGGTGCATTGTATAGAGGCTAATAAGGTATCTCCAGGAGAGGGCTTTATAACTTTGGACAGCCTGTGGTCCATATGAGTTCTCTGATCCAATCAGAGGCTCCACATAGCCTGCAGGAGCTCTCCATAGGACTTTTAGCCCCACTGGCTCGAGCCCTGTTCCAGCACACACCTCCTCTGGGGTCTCTGGGGTCTCCTCAGTCTGTTGTTCTTGGGCAAGTCTTCCAGGGGTGATGGGCTATGACTTGATGCCCAGGGGCCTGCTTGGGCAATTGCTCAAAGCCATGGTAATATAATGTTTAGGGGGTCTGCATATGAGACTGCTCAAGACCATGGCAAGGGATACAAAACCTCTATGGAAGGGTCCTTTGGCCTCATTACCTCATCAAGCTCTTTTTCTGCTCTCACTAGTTTCGCAACTCTACAGCAAAATCTAAAGCTTAGGCCCTTGATAACTGATAGGTACTTAGTTAAGATGGAAAAAAAGCCATTATATTTATGCACATATAAGGTAAACAAGCTGAATATGGTGGTACACACTTGTAATCCTAGCATTTGGGAGGCTGAGGCAAGAGGATTGAGTTTGAAGTCAACTTGAGCTACATGCAACATCCTGTTTCATAAAACCAAACCAAGCTGGTGCTGGTGGGTCATGCCTATATAATCCTAGCTACTCAGGAGGCTGAGGTCTGTGGATTGCTTGTCCCAGGCAGGAAAGTCTGTAAGACTCTTATCTCCAATTAACCATGAAAAAAGTCAGATGTGGAGCTGTGGTAGAGAGCTAGCTTTGAGCAAAAAAAAGCCCAGGGACAGTGTGCAGGCCCTGAGTTCAAGTCCCAAGACTGTCACTAAAACCACCCCCAAACTCAAAGCCCAAAACACATCCAAATGAAACCAAGACATTAACATACTCAGTATTCTCCAGAGTTTCAGGCACTGGGGGAAGGGTGGTTTTATAATATAACCCTCACAGATAAGTGGGTTGACCCTACATACACTTCCAATAAAAGAATCACCACCAAGGTTTATTTTCTCCACAGGTTCAGATCATAAGCATTCATCAAGTTCAAATAATCTAGATGACGATTTGGAGAAAATATTTGGTAAGTTACTTTCTTCTGTGAAATCTTATTTGAAAAGTCAACTCCTTGTGGTTTGTTTCCTGCTGCTTTGAGGGGAAGGCAAGCACTTTGCCTTGTGGCTAATATTCGTTTCTGCAAGTATCAAAGCCCTGAGAAAATAAGCAACACATGAAAGACAAATATTGGGAGAATACCCTGCTTCACAAAAGGGGCCGGGGTAGGATTACCATCTGCATTGTGTCAGAACCCACTTCAGACCAGCTGCAAAACACCTGCCTGAACAATTCTGCTCATCAGAGATGGAGATGCCCCAAGGTTGAGCTTTCAAGAATGCCAGTCCAAACTAAGGAAGACAGCGACCTGAATAATTGCTAAAGGAGCCATTTCACTCTGCCCACAGTAATCAGGTTCAGGGGTACAAGATGCAAACTTTGCATCAGTTACTTATTTACTTATTTTTAAGCAATTTGGGTTTGAACTTAGAACTTCATGAATTATAGGCAAACATTCTATCAACTGAGCTATATCCTAGCTCTGCATCCAGTAATGTGTGTGTGTGTGTGTGTGTGTGTGTGTGTGTGTGTGTGAGAGAGAGAGAGAGAGAGAGAGAGAGAGAGAGAGAGAGAGACTGTGTGTGTGTGTGTGACTGTGTGACTGTGTGCTGGTCCTGGGTCTTAAAGTCAGGGCCTGGGCACTGTCTTTTAGCTTTTTCACACAATGCTGGTGCTTTACCAATAGCTTTGTTTGAAAAATATGTATAATACTATATATTATGTATTTTGTTTGGTGCCTGTCTTGTGGCTTGAACTCAGGGCTTCTTGCTATCCTTAAGCTTTTGCGCTCAAGGCTAGTGCTCTACCACTTGCGCCACAGCTTTACTTCAGCTTTTTGTAGATAGGAGTCTCAGGGACTTTCTTACCCAGGCTGTCTTTGAACTGTGAATCTCAGATCTCTGCCTTCTGAGTAGCTGGGATTATAGGTGTTAGTCACTTGTGCCCAGCTATATCAATTAATTTTTAAAGTCTTCTGGGTCTCAAGTCTCAAGGCCCAGCCTTGAGACTTTAAGATTTGAGAAAAAATGAAGGGCCAGGATGTAAAGCAGAGATCTTAGGCTGAAAACAAGTTAGAACTGTAGCTGTGTACTGAGGAAGCTGTTCAAATTCCAGTAAAATTACTCTGGTGCTTGTGATACAGGTCTAGAGTAGATATTGTGTCCACTTTTTGTCTGAGAGTTTCCTAGTGGCCAGACATAGTGGTTGACACCTGCAATCTCAGGTACCTGAGAGGAAGAGATTGGGGGGTTCTCAGTTTGAGGTTACCCTGGGCAAAAGATTATCAAGGCCCTATCTTAGCCATCTTAAATACAACAGGTGGTGTGTACCTGTGATCTTAGCTATTAAGGAGACATTGGTAGGAGGCAAGCTCTGGGTACAAATTTGAGACCCTACCTAAAAAATAATGAATGAAAAACTAGGAGAGAGCAATAAATGAACTCTTTACTTGACTTATGTAATTGTAACTCTGCTGTACATCACCTTTATAATAGCAATAAAAATAAAAAATAATAAAAGCGAGAGGCTGAGGGTGTAACCTAAATGGTAGAGCATCTGCCTAGCAGGAATGAGGCCTTGAGTTTACACTGCAGTACTACAAGAAAGGAAGAAAGGAAAGAAGAAAGGAAGGAAGACAGGCAGAAAGAAAGAAAGGAAGAAAGAAAGAAAGAAAGAAAAGAAGGAAGAAAGAAAGGAAGGAAGGAAGGAAGGAAGAAAGAAAAGGAGAAAAAGAAGGAAGGAAGAAAAGGAAAGGAAAGAAAACAAAAGAGAAGAAGGGGGAATGGAGAGAAAGAAAGAAGAGAAAGAGGGAAGAAGGGAAGGAGAAACAAACAAGACAAGATCTCTGCTAACAGCATAGTGCCTGACTTGCCTGCTTTTATTACCCAACACCTGAAAGACCCCTGTTCTAGGAGCTGTCTGTGGCAGGAGCTCTGGGTTTGGTCCTCCATGTGCTATCAAATTGGCCTCTGTCCACCTGCACTGACATCCTGATAGATGACTGACTGGCAGATGACATGGCTGAATGAATGCATAGACACAGCCAGCTCCTGTAGCCCACCAGAGCTGCCCTCCAGTGTTACCATCTAGGAATCTGAGGATGGTCTTCTCCAGTGTGTGCACCCAGACCCATGTGAGCAAGGGGAGTGAGGACCTTGGAGGCAAGCATGTGTCTTGGAGTTGAGAGGATGCTATCCTTCTTAAGTCGTGCCTGTGCCATGCCACTCTTGGCCTTGGCACTTGTGAGCCCCTTATGACTTACCAGCTTCTCTCTTGCAGCAGTATTTCCAGGGACACATAGGTCAAGGCTTTTATCCAGGGGATATGGTGAGGAGGACCTGGTCACTGTGGTAGTTCATTCTTAGCATCTGCTGCAAGCTTTTTCTACTCAAAACATGGATCCCCTTGGAAATGAGTGAGTGGGATTTGCGATGATTGTTTTCTGTGTGGGTAGCAGGTTATATTGGCTTGGTTTATGTAAGTAGATCACCTGACAGTTTATTTCTCAGAAGGTATCCCTGTCATTAAGTGAATGTATCTCCATTGTTGAGCTACAGGGGAGTATATTCCAAAATTTAAGAAATTAGTGAATGTTTTTATAACAAAGTACATTCTGATCTTACAGAACCAGTTGACGCTCTCTGAGGACAGTGTTTGAGTTTGTTGGGGTCTAGGCAGTCCTGCAATGGTCAGCGCAATGGTCAGGGTCAGGTCCGGGCTTGCTCTGGGTCCTTCTCTTAATGGCTTGGGATGGGTACCACATACTGTTGCCAGTCAGCTACTGGTTCTCTATGGCTGCTTCAAGGATTTTCCTGATGTACAAGCATCGCTGATTTAGTATTCTTGAAAGGCTAGTTCTGTTAGGCCCTGGGAACCTATGTCCACAATGCTTGCTACTCAGGAGGTTGCGATCTGAGGATCAAGGTTAGAAGCCAGCTGGGGAGGAAAGTCTGTGAAATTCTTATGTGCAACTAAACACCAAAAAACTGGAAGTGGAGCTATGGCTCGAGTGGTAGAGCACCAGCCTTGAGTGAAAAAGCTAAGGGGCAGCATTCAGACCCTGACTCCAAGTCCAGGACCAGGAGAGCAGGGGGGAGGAGTGAGGGTGAGGAGAGAGAGGATGGAGCAGGGAAGTAGTTTCAGGTATGTTTCTGTCACTAGCTGACCTGCCAAAGCTGCTTGGGAGGCTGAGTTCCAAGTGTCAGTCAGGGAATTGATAGAGACATGCAGCATCTGTGGGCAGAGAGGACTTGGAATAGTAGATTCTATGATCAACTGGATCCACATCTTCCTTGAAGTCTATTCAGATAAAGGCCTATGTTCTGGCTGGCTGAGTGCAGCTGTTTCTCTTTTTTTTTCCCCTCTGCCTGGCCTTGTCTTTGCTGTTCTTTGTGGCTGTGTCAGTGTGTCTGGTCACACACTGACAGGGTGTCTGCTTGGCACATGTGTCTGGATGATCTGGGATGCATATCAGCTACCAGGTCTCCTTCCTCAGAGCCCCCCAGTACCTCATCCAGCTTCCATGCAGAGAATGGGCTGAGAAAAGAGTGTGCTGTGCAAATGATACCCAGTGTCACTCCACTCGATCTACTAGGGCATTATGATCTTTAGGAACTGGAGCTTGGTTCTCTATAGAGTGGCCAAGATAATCTCAATGAAGGGAATCCCCATGTTCCCTTAGTCACCATGCCGGGCAACAATGCACTTGTATGCAGTTACTGGAAAATCTGACTTGCAGTGGCTTAAACAATGAGCACTTTGTTTTTATTCCTCAGCAAACACGCCACGGAAGGCAACTGAACCTTTGGTCAATTTGGGACGGTTTCTCTGAAATCATCAAGGCCTTTCCAGATGCTTGTATCTATTAGTCACAAGATGGCTTCTCTAGCTCCAGAAATTATAACTGCTCTCAATGCAAAAAGAGAAGAAATAGGGAAACACAGTACTCTATTTTTCTGTCCAGAGGAACAACACTCTTCCTGGGTCTCAGGGGTCTACTGAGGACTTCTGTGTTTGTGTGGCCCTCCCCTAATTGCCAGAGAGAGAGTGGGAAAGGAAGTATCTTCATGTGGACTTGGCTTTCAAGGCCACATGGGTGAGAGAAACTTGGGATAGAACTGCTCAGAGGCTGTGGTGGATGCTCTATTTTTCTGTTCTATGTTAGTGACATCTTTGCCTTGTATGTCTATCTTCTTTCATATACACATATCCACTGGTGCAGGGTTCCAGTAAGTAGAGAACTAGCAAGGTTAACTAGCTAATCTGGGGATTATTGTTATAAGAAAGATGGTGATGAGACATTTTGCCTTCAGCATGAGAGTCACACTGGCACTGTATTAAATGTTTTATAGATATCATTATACTTAATTTCCACAAAAGTCCTCTGAGCTAAATAATAGCCTCCTCATCCTAATAGTGAGGAAGCCAAAGATCAAAGAGGTGAAGTCACTTGTTAAAGATCATGTTCCTGCAAGCAACAAAGTCAAAATTTGGGTCTAGGCCATTCTACCGAAAAAAACAGGCCTCTCCTAAGAGAAGCAATAAGATCTTATAGGAACAAATAATATGCATCTTGTAGAAACAAGAAAAAGGAGCTAGGCTCTGGTGGCTGATGCCTATAATCCTATGTACCCAAGAGGCTGAGATCTGGGGATTGACATTAGAACCCAGAACAGGAAAGCCTGTGAGATTCTTATCTTCCAGTTAACCAACAAAAAACCAGAAGTGGAGGTATGGCTCAAGTAGTAGAGTGCCAGCCTTCTGTGAAAAATCTAAGGCGCAGCACTGAGGCCCTAAGTTCAAGCACTGGTACTAGCACCACACACACACACACACACACACACACACACACACACACACCACACAAATAAAAATAACAATGAAAAAAAGGTTTGTTCATATATAAGGACAGCTTGAGACAGTCTCAGAGGTGAGTCAGAATGCCATCAGGAAGAAGCAGAAAAAATATGGCACTAGATAACATGAAATTTGGCATTGATTTTCTCGCAGTACATCTCTGCTGGATAAAGTTACCTGCATAGACTGTCTAATGCAATCACAATTTGCAGCAATGGATTAGGCATTTAGAAGTTTCCTTTGTGAAGACAAGGCATCTTAGAGCACAGCATTTCATTCTCATGGAGTTACCACACTTATTAACATATTCACAGAGTGCTTTAGGTTCTTAGAGGGTAAAGTATACCAGTCCTGTGTTTGCTAGTATTGACATGCCTTTGTTTGCTTCACTTGAGATGAGATTCTACTGCAGGTGTTTCCCAGTGATCCATATGACACATCAAAGTATGAAGCCAAAACAGCAGGCAGACTGATTACAAGGAGAGACACGAATGAAGGCAAGTAGGTGTTGTTAGTCCTGGAAGGGTCCCTATTTCATAGGCCCATGCATTGTATTGTGTGATGGTTATCATTTTAGCATTCTGAAATTCAGCTAGGGGTGGAGCAATACCAGAATGACATGAGGAGCAAGGAACCATCTGAAATCCTTTTAATAAATTTCCATTAACTCTGGAGTCATGTGACTATCCCTGTATTTTGGGGTGATCCCTGATGTGTAGGGTCAGGTAGGTCCTGCCATTTTGGATGCTGATTAGAGAACCAGGCACCTGATTTGGAAGTGGCTCGTCATTTCTTATAACAAACTTTATGCTGAGGAATAACTTTTCCTCTCCTCAGTTCTTTATAGTCCACTGCCTGTGAGGGTAGCAGTCCCTGGCCTGGGAAAGCAGAATCTCCCCACATTCCTCCTCATCACCCTCACCCTCACTTCAGCCTTTGTAAACTATTTGGCCAAGGCAACAGAGCTGATTTCTCCTTCAACACTCATATTCAAATACCAAAGCCAGAGGAAGCAAACTCACTAACTAAAACAACCTTACCTCCCATTTCTATTAGCCCCAAATGATATAAATAGCAGAGAAGCTGTTTAAATTATAAAGAAAATTGGAACATAGGGTATTACTTATCAGGATAAACCAGATGTGCTGTATTACAATTACAAGACCATCGGCAGAGCCATTTTATAACTAACCAGCTTGTCAATGCATTTCAGAAGCTATTTGTTGAAGACAAAGAAATGTATTTGGCTGCATAATCTTGCTAGCTTGCTCTGTGCTGTGTGTTATTATGTTCCTTTGGATAACACAATATGGAACTCATTTTTTAGCTAAGTGCTCCCAGAATTAAGAGGATCTATTCCAAATGATTTGCCAGTGTCTCGTTAATAGAAAACGGTGCCTTTGTCGTTTATTTGATCAAAGCACTTGCATTTGATGTCATTTGACATACTCTGTACAGACCCTTCTACCAGTTTTCTTGTAGAGTTAACAGTGCCATGTGCACAAATTATTCAGTGGCTATGCATGTGGCGGTAGGAAACCACATGAACATGAGCTTTGTGTTGGAAATGAGATGCTTACAGATCCTTCTTGGATGCTCTGGGACAATCAGACTAGGTGGCTTCAGGCCAACTGCATGATGCTCCACTTAACATTCCTTACAGAAGAATAGGCCTTAAAAAGAACACAAGATGCAGATTCTTCACAAGATTTCATTCCAACTAAGGTTTATTTCCTTCCCATAGGTCACTTCCAGACGAACAGCTTAAACAATTCTGACTTTGCATCAAGTGCAGTTAAGCGAGAGGAACATTTGGCTAAAATATTTGGTAAGTCACCTCCTACCGTGAAACCTGAAGAGTCACCTGCTTGTCCTTCATTGTCTCCCAAGTCATCTGTTCCTGTTGCGTTGAGGGGGAAGATAAACGCCTTGCTTTGGGGGCTAAAATCAGATCCTGTAAGTTCTGGGAAATTAGGTGAAATGTAGGAAGATAAACATATTGAGGAGCATGGCCCTGCTCCTCAAAGGGAGTAGCAGTAGCAGAAGCAGCGAGCAGCAATAGAAGCAGCAGCATGCTGGGCCATCATCTAGGAATTCCCTGGGGGACAATTAAAATGAGATGTCCCATCCTGCCCACAGCAATCAGATCCTGTGGTGCGTGGGGGAGACTTTTGCACCAATAATTTTTAAAGCTCTCTGGGGATTCTTAGCTGTGCTTCATTGATCGAATCCCAAACTCTCATTTAGTACTTGAGAAAAGCAAAGGTCCAGATGGAAGATGGTGGGGTAGGGACACTCCAGGTCTCTGTCTCTTTACCAAAACAACAGTTGAACTGGCATCCACTATGGTAAACCATCATTCTGGAACATTGAAGAACTGGTGAAATACTGGCAGTGCCCAAGGAGAGCTGAATGAAAAGCTTAGTGTATTCCTGGTGATTTTCAGCATTTTATGTAGAAGTTACTATTTTCTACCCTCAAACCCTGAAGCAGGCAACTTTGTTGGATAGAAGTCCATACCTCCTTTCCTTTGTTGAGGGAATTAAAAAAGATTCCCTACTTCCTTTTTGGAAATAGAAGTAACAATTGAACTACTTTTGTACGTATGTGTGTGTCTTGGTACTGGGGCTTGAACTCAAAGCCTTGTGTTCTCTCTTGATTTTTTTCCACTCAAGGCTGGCACTCTACTACTTGAGCCATGCCCCTACTCCTGGTCTTGGTGATTTTTCTGTCCTGGTAGGCTTTCAAACCTCAATTCTTAGATCTTAGGCTCCTGAGTAGCTAGGATTACAGGTGTGAGTCACAAGCATCTGACATCTAAAAAAGCTATTTTTGTTGTTGTTGGTTGTGGGGCCTGAACTCTGGGCGTGGGCTCTTCAGTTCAAGGTTAGCACTCTACCACTTGAGCCACAGCTCCACTTCTGGCTTTTTCTGCTTATGTGATGCTGAGGAATCGAACCCATGCATGCAAGGCAAGCACTCTACCACTGAGCCACCTTCCCAGCCCCTAACAAACTATGTTTAAGAACAAAGAAAAGACTGTGTGGCCATATCTAAGCAGCACTCGCTGTGGCTGGGGCAGTGGCCAGGTAAACTACAGATGGCTGATTTTTAAAAATAAGATTGCCTGTCTACAACAAAAGCAATTTTAACCAATTTCATGCTCACATTGTGCACAAAACTTTGAATTGATGCCTCTCTGTCTACCTGTCCACTTGGGAATACCCAACCAAGTAAATCATTGTGACAAAAACACTCTCCTGCACTACTTACATCAGCAATGGGACAAAAAGAATGCAGCCAAGAAGAGACTAGGAACAAATGGATGGGGAGGGGGGAGAGTTCAGTGCAACAGCCCAGACGTGAATGAGGAGGACACACCTCTCTCCACAGGTGCCTCCTGTGCCAGCTTCTCCATCACACACCCGCCTACCTTCCCTGTGTAAGCACCCCTCTTACCCCCATTGGCTCCTACACCCTGTAGTCCACTCTATGTCTAACCTCACAGGAGCTAATGTATTTATTTTCCTTGAGTTTTTATTTATACTGTAATATGTATCAAGTGTTGGTTAAAGAGGATGTCAGACCCCAAGAGTGTGATGCAGTAGATGCTTTGTGTGTGTGTGTGTGTGTGTGTGTGTGTGTGTGTGTGTGTGTGTGTGTGTGCCAGTTTTGGAGCTTGAACTCAGGGCTTGGGTATTGTCCTTTAGATTTTTCACTTGGTGCTGGTGCTCTACCACTTGAGCCACAGCTCTAGTTCTGGCCGTTTTGCTGTTTAATTGGAGATAAGAGTTTCATGGACTTCCCTGCCTGGGCTGGCTTTGAACTATGCTTCTCAGATCTTAGCTTCCTGAGTAGCTTGGACTATAGTCATGCACCACTGGTACCCGGCCCTTCCTCATTCACTTTAAGAAGCCAGTATTTTCCTGATACTAAGCAGACAACTAAGAAAACAACAAATGCATAACCTTTGTAAATAGATATCCAACCATGTACAACAAAATATTAGCACACTAGACCTTTTGGGATTTATTCTTGGAATAAACATACAAAAGTCTGTACGTGCAGTATACTATATTTAAAGAATGAAGAAAAACCTTATATGATTATCTTAACTGATGCAAAAGAAAGTCTGTGATTAAATTAATTTTTTTTTTTGCCAGTTCTGGGGCTTAAACTTTGGGCCTAGGCTCTGTCCCTGAGTTTTTTTTTTTGCTCAAGACTAGTGTTCTACCACTTGAGTCACAGCACCACTTCCAGCTTTTTCTGAATAGTTTATTGGAGATAAGAGTCTTATTGACTTTCTTGCCCAGTCTGGCTTCAAACTGCAATCCTCAGATTTCAGCCTTCTGAGTAGTTAGAATTACAGGTGTGAGCCACCAGTGCCTGGCCTTACATTTCTTCATACCCTTCATGTTTTTTTGTTGTTTGTTTTTTGCCAGTCCTGGGGCTTGAATTCAGGGTTTGGGCACTGCTTCTTTTGCTCAAGGCTAGCACTCTACCACTTGAGCCACAGTGTCACATCTAGTTACTTACTTATTCATGGACTGCTAGATACCTAGCAAAATATACCAGTCTTGTGTTGCTGGCATTAACATGTCTTTGTTTGTTTCATTGAGATGAGATTCTACTGCAGGTGTTTCCCAAAGATCCACACCACATGGTACACAATGAAGCCAGAACAACAGGCAGACTGATTACAAAGACAGACATGAATGAAGGCAAGTACATATTGTTGACAGAGGAAATGCCCATATTTCTTAGGCTGCATATTAAGCTTACAATGCTATCATTTTAGCATTCTGGAAGCCAGCTGGTGGTGGAGCAATACCAGATGGACATGTGGAGGAAAGAATTGTCTAACATCCTTTTTATAACCTTCCATTAGCTATAGGGTTAGATGATTGTAGGGTCAGGTGTATTTGGGGGTGTTTTCCTGTGTGTAGAGTTAGGTGACATGGGCCATCTCAGCCCAGGTGAGCTGGGCTGATCAGGGGACAGGCACTTGATTTGCAAGTGGAGCTCATATTCCTGGGTCACATGAACCCTGAAGTAGCAGAATAATTTTTTTCCCATGCAATATGTTTTATATTTCCATGGGCATGAAGTAGTTTGAGAGACCCATGAATCATTTATACCTTCATCCTTGAAAAGACAATAAGAACAACATGACTTGCCCTGGGAACACCCACAGAAATGACAACAATGGAGAAAAAAGCAACTTCATACCATCAAAAAAGAGGAACATTAGCTGAGCACAGGTGGCTCAAGCCTGCAATTTTAGCTACCCAGGAGGCTATGATATGAGGATTGTAGTTTGAACCTGGCCTGGGGAAGGAAAGTTTGTGAGACTCTTTTCTCCAATTAAAAAAAAAATGAAAGTGGAACTGTGGCTCAAGTGGTAGAGGGCTAATCTTGAGCCCCTAAAAGCTCAGGGATAGTACCCAGGCCCTGAATTCAAGCCCCAGGACTAACACGAAACAAAACAAAAATACTCCAAAATAAGAAACAATATTGAGAGAATTAAGATATCCAGATGGTAACAGGTGGTTATGATGGAATTATGTAATAGCAAGCTACTAAGAGTGAGAAACAGTCCTTGGTGGCAGCCCATTGGTATGTTGCACACAGATATGCATTCCCATGTCTTGATACATCTGCCCAACCTCTGCTGCAATCAGCAGTCAGGTGCAATCTCGTCATTATGTTCAAAACTCATATTTCCACATTTAAGTGGGATTCTATGTTAGCATTTAAACTTAGCTACAAGCTCATGCCTGTAATCCTAGCTACTCAGGAGCCTGTGGTCTGAGGATTATAGTTTGGAGCCAGTCCAAGCAGAAAAGTCCGTTGAGACTCTTATCTCCAATGAACCACCAAAAAGATGAAAGTGGTAGCATTTAAGAAAAAAAGCTCAGCCCTGATCAGGTTCAAGCCCTAGGAACAGAAAAAAAAAAAAAAATTAAAAAAATGAAAGAAAGAGAATGAAAAAGAAACGGAATATAAAAATGTAGGGGTCAAGATGCTTGTATCTATGTACTGACAAAAATCTTTCTCTTTTTCATGCACTTTATCAAAGAAATCAGTGTTGCCCAGAAGTCTCCAGAACCAGAATCTTTTCTTGACCCAATGGACAAAACGCAAAATGGTAAACATAAGCGGATAAACTTAGGATTGGGGTCAATTCATAATAGCTACTATTTTCCTCTTTCAAGTTCAGAACTAAGTTTGCAGCTATGCCCATGGCGCCTCTGGCTGGTGGAGTCGCTCTCCTGTAGAGGATGCTTGGCCTGGCACTGCGGTGCTTCACCTCACATTAGGGAGCATGTCAAATCCCTGGTCAGGTTGAGGGAACTGTGATACCCTGTGAAAATCGGCTTCTGTAAAGTGAGCAGACCTATGTCTGGCCTTGGCAGGCAGGTTCATGACAGGGAAAGAACTGGCCCAGCAAGGGAACGCTGTTCCATGCAGTTACCAGATCCCTTTTCCCCTGAGTGTGGGGGGTTGGGCTTGTGAGGGGCTGAACACATTCCTGAGGCGCCACCCAGAGGGATGCTGGTGGAATTGCAGCCTTCTGAGTTAGGGAAGGCTCATCTTACTTGACCTGATTTTGGTGAATGACAGAATGAGAAACTATCCCAGGAAGTATTTCTTCTTTTGTAAATTGTCATTGTTTGAGGGGGAAAAGACAGGTTCTTCCTAGGTACAAGTGTAGGCACAGGCACTGGGGTTCTCTGATCTGATTGTGCATCAGCTAGCATTAGTTCTGTAAGTGGAGCCTAGGAAGGAAGCTGCTGTGGATTTTTTTGTTGTTGTTGTTTTGTTTTTGTCAGTTGTGGGGCTTGAACTCTGGGCCTGGGCGCTGTCCCTCAGCTCTTCAGCTCAAGGCGAGCGCTCTACCACTTGAGCCATAGCACCACTTCTGGTTTTCTGGTGGTTAATTGGAGATTAGACTCCCACAACCTTTCCTGCCTAGGCTGGCTTTGAAATACGATCCTCAGATCTCAGCCTCCTTAGTAACTAGGATTACAGGCATAAGCCACCGGCCCGGCTAAGGCACAGTCCCTGGGTGAGTCCTGAAGTCAGCCAGTGACTAGTTTCTGGCATTTGGAAACATTGACTTGGATGATTTTCAGGGATGAATTTATAACAGGATCCTTAAAATGACAATTGTGGGAACTGGAGGCGTAGCTCAAGTGGTAAAGCGCCAGCTGTTAGTGAAAAAACTGAGCAAACCTTGAGTTCAGATCCCAGTACCTGCCCCCACCCCAATCCATAGTTACATAAAATGACTATTGTGTGCTCTGCCTAGTGTTTTGTAATAGGAAGGCAACTGATTTCTGTACCTTAATTTTGTATCCTCATCTTACTTGCTTCTAAGCTTGTGCTTATGTCATCTATAAGCAGTGATTTTTTTTTCTTTTCATTATTATGCCTCTCACTGACTAACTCATGTCTAACTACATTGCTAATATCTCCAGGATGAACTTGAGTAGTAGTGGAGATAGTTGCATGCTGTCTGTATGTCCCCCGTTTTGCTTTTTTATTTATCCATTGATGTATCAGTTTTGTTGCCTTTTCATTTTGTCATGGTGAATATGTTGATATATAAATACTGCTTTTTGTTCTGTGTGTGTGTGTGTGTGTGTGTGTGTGTGTGTGTGTGTGTGTATGTATGTGTGTGAGAGCAAGGTGGGGGGGTATGTATGTAAGTAGGACTTGAACTCTGGGCTTGGGTGCTGTCTTTTAGCTTTTCACTCAAGGCATCAAGGCAGCACTTTACCACTTGAGCCACAGCTCCACTTCAGGCTTTTGTTGGTTAATTGAAGATAAGAGTCTCATGAACTTTTCTGTTTGAGCTGGCTTTGAATGGATATTCTCAGCTATCCTGAGAAGTACCTACCTAGCTGCTTTCAGTTCTTTTGTGCACATATATATTGGATATATTTGTATATATACATATATATATATTCTATTTTTAAGTTTTTCGACAGCTGCCATATGTTTCTATATTGGTTCAACACTTTACAGTTTCACCAGTAATAGAACAATTTTCCAATTTCTTCACACTCGTGCCAACATGTGTTATTTTCTGTTGCTATTTATTTATTATATTTTTGTTGGTTGTGGGCATTGAACTCAGGGCCTAAGCACTGTCCCTTAGCCCTTTAGCTCAAGGCTAGCACTCTACCAGCTCCACTCCCCATTTTCTGGTGGTTAATTGGAGATAAGAGTCTCATGGACTTTCCTTCCTAGGCTGGCTTTGAACCATGATTCTCAGATCTCAGCCTCCTGAGTAGCTAGGATTACAGGCATGAACCATCAGTGCCTGGCTTAGTTTTTTAAAATAGTGGTCATATTCATGTGTATGAGGTGTTATCTGATTGTAGTTTGCTTTGCTGTTTTTTTTTTTTTTTTGGTCAGTCATGGGGCTTGAACTCAGGGCCTGGGTGCTGTTCCTGAGCTCTTTTATGTTCTAGGCCAGAACTCCACAACTTGAGCCACAGTGCCACTTCTGGTTTTCTAGTGTTTAATTGGAGATAAGAGTCTCACAAATTTTCCTGCCTGGGCTAGCTCAGAACCATGATCCTCAGATCTCAGCCTCCTGAGTAGTTAGGATTATATGCATGAGCCATTGGCATCCTGATCCATTTTCTTTTTCTTTCTTTCTTTTTTTTTTTTTGGTTGATTGTGGGGCTTGAACTCTGGGCCTGGGTGCTGTCCCTCAGCTCTTCAACTCAAGGCCAGTACTCTACTGCTTGAGCCACAGTGCCACTTCTGGTTTTCTAGTGGTTTATTGGAGTTAAGAGTCTCACGGACTTTCCTGCCTTTTGATCCTCAGATCCAACCTCCTGAGTAGCTAGGATTACAGGCGTGAACCACCGGCGCCCGGCTTAATACATTTTCTTAATAATTAGTGATCTGGAGTTTTTTTTTTGTCGGGCATGGGGCTTGAACTCTGGGCCTGGGCACTGTCCCTCACTCTTCAGCTCAAGACTAGCACTCTACCACTTGAGCCACAGCGCCACTTCCTCTACCTTTTTGGATATAGTATATACTTTATAGAATTTCAGGTAAGTTGCATATATTCCTGGATGTATCCAGAGATCCCAGATTAATGTTCTATTCTTCCAAATTTTGCAGGAGACATCAACGAGAAAAAAGATGCTTTGGCGGAACATCAGAACTATAGTGAGTGACTCTGAGAACAAAAATCTTTTTATTTCTATTCCAATCCTTTTTTTTTTTGTCTGTCTTGGGGCTTGAACTCTGGACCTGGGCACTGTCCCTCAGTTCTTCAGCTCAGGCTAGCGCTCTACCACTTGAGTCACAGCACTACTTCCGGCTTTTTCGCTTATATGGTGCTGAGGAATTGAACCCAAGGCCTCATGCATGCAAGGCAAGCACTCTACTACTTAGCCACCTTCCCAGACCCTGGAGTATTTTTTTAACTGTATTTTTTCCCCCTGTTTTAATGGAAGGCCCATTTTATTTTATTTATTGTGAAAATATTGTAGAGAGGGGTTACAATTACATGGGCAAGATAATGAGTACATTTCTTATCAAGCATTGTAGCCTCCTAACTGTATTTTTTGTACTTATTGGACATTTCTGTATTTCCTTTTGAAAGAAAAAAGTCTCTTCAAGTCTTTTGATCATTGTTGTATTTTTATTTTTATTTTTTTTGTCTGTCGTGGGGCCTGAACTCTGGGCCTGGGCGCTGTCCCTCAGCTCTTCAGCTCAAGGCTAGCACTCTACCACTTGAGCCACAGCACCACTTCTGGCTTTTTCTGCTTATGTGGTACTGAGGAATCGAACCCAGGGCCTCATGCATGCAAGGCAAGCACTCTACCACTGAGCCACTTTCACAGCTCCTGTATTGATTTTTGTTGTTATTGAGTTTTAGAAATCTATTATTTTCTATGTCAAAAATTGGATTTGGAAACATTTTCTACCTCTATTTTTTAATCTGTTGATGTCGTTTTTCATTCACAAAAAAGCTTCAATTTTTCTTTTTTTTTAAAAAAAAACTGCATCTCACAGTTTAAGCTTGCCTTGAACTCTTTTTATTATATATATATATATATATATGTATATATATATATATATATATATATATATACACACACACACACACAGTATATATGTATATATTTTATTTTATTTATTTTTTGGTCCGGTCATGGGGCCTGAACTCTGGGCCTGGGTGCTGTCTCTCAGCTCTTCAGCTCAAGGTTAGTGCTCTACCACTTGAGCCACAGCACCACTTCTGGCTTTTTTCTTTTTGCTTATGTGGTGCTGAGGAATTGAACCCAGGGCCTCATGCATGCAAGGCAAGGGCTCTACCACTGAGCCACCTTCCCAGCCCCTGTCCCTGAGTTTTTGTGCTCAAGGCTAGCACTCTCCCAAGTGAGCCATAGCCCCAATTCCAATAAGAATCTCATGGACTTTCCTGCCCAGGCTGGCTTTGACCTATGATCCTCAGATCTCAGCCTCTTGAGTAGCTAGCAGGCAGGAACCACTGACTCTGGGTTATGGCCTTGAACTCTTGACCCTTCTTTGCCTCTGCTTCCTGGAATTACAGACTTGTATCTAACACCAAGAAAAAATTTACAAAAATTTACATTGTTATTAAGTTTAGTGTACCTATTTTTTATTTTTCTGTCTGTGCGTTTGCTATCATATCTAAGAAATCATTGCCAAATGGAATGTCACCAAGTCTTTGCCCTGTTTTTTTTCTCTAACAGTTTTATAGTTTTAGGTCTTATATATAGGTTCTTGGTATGTATGTATGTATGTATTTATTATAGTACTTTGGATCATACCCAGGGCCTTATACATGCTGGGTGAGCACTCTACCACTTAGCTTTGATGGCTTCTGAGATCATAGCTGTATATAGTGTTAGATCAAGGTCTACCTTCAATTCATTTGCATGTTGCTATCCCATTTCCTAGAATCCTTTGTTGTTCCATTTGGACTTATGGTAGTCTAAATGGTTCCTGCAGGTGTCAAGTGTTGTGTGCCCAGGAGTGTTTATATAGTACCAGCATACCTCATCCCCTAAAGAATGTCCCTTAGACCCTGCATAATACAATCTCATTGCTAATTGTATAAGTATAATTAATAATATAGTTGGAGTGACAGTGCTTGCTATTTAGTTTGAATTTTTGTTTCTTTAAACTATCTATTTGATTACTTTTGAATAAATTTACTTCCCAACTTCTATTATGCCTCCAGGGAAACCAAGACAAAACTTTCTTTTAACTCTAGTACTTATTTACAATCTCCCTCTTTTTTTCCCCCCAGTGGTTTGAACTAAGGGTTTGTGCATGCTACACTTAGCTACATCCTACCTCTTCCTTTTATAAAAATGAACAGAATTTTCTAATTAAAGCCTTTTTTTTCTCATTTCCTGAGCTGTCTGCTTCCCCTTTCATATTTACTAGTATCATTGTAGTCTACACATTGAAATGTCCAGGGGGCAAATCATAACACAATCTGATACAGTCACAGTTTGGTTCCCAGGGATGGGTAGTGACATAAAAAGGTTTTAATAAAACATTAGAAGTGAGTAAGTATGTGAATGAATGGTATGCTTCTCTATAACATTGATGATCACTATTATGGTAATAACACTGACATACAGAGCACTTATTGTTTTCCAGATGTTGGAGTTTTCAACTACATTATCTCATTTAATTCACACAGAAGTCCTATGTAGTTTTTCTTCTGTGTCTCTATTTTCTATGTGGAAACAGGTTAAGAAACCTGATGCAGCTCAGATGGCTAATAGGAGTCAGTGCTCATCTTTAAATGCAGATGCCTTGAGAGACACCACTTACATCAATGTAAAGGACACCTGGAGGAACTTGAAGGCAGACAGTTTTGCAGACATCACACATAGCAATAATCCTCAGATGCACCCCCTTAGATTTTCTAAGTAACCCAGTAACTTGGGGTCCCCAGGGTGGGACAATTTGGCTTCAGCTGTTCTAAGTTCTGCTGAGTGGATTCCACCTGGGTCAATGAAACTTTCCACTGGAGCTGGGTATCAGTGGCTCATGACTATAATTAGACCTCAGGAGGATGAGATCTGAGGATTGAGGGTGAGAGCCAGTCTGGGCAGACAAATCTGACAGATGTGTTTGTAAATAACCATCCAAAAACTCTCCAGAAGTGGAGGTGTGGCTCAAGTGATAGAGTGCCAGCCACGAAGGGAGACAGGAAGCCAAGTGGGAACTCAAGGCCCTGAGTTCAAGCCCCTGAACCAGCAAAATAACATTACCACTGGAGCAATGGAAGGTAGTGTTTCCCTGTAAGTATTCACACTGTATGAAAGAATTTTCAAATGCAGAACCTACTGATAGCCCTTTTTGTACCCTATTGGGTTCATCTGCCCTAGAACAAGCATACAACCACCTCCTAGACCTTGTGCCAGGTCTCAACCTGTCATGTTGATAGATTTTTCTAGAATGTTTGCTTAATATCAAAAGCTATCCTTTAACAATGAGCTTGCTTTATTTATTTATTTATTTATATTGTGAAAATACTGTACAGAGGAGTTACAATTACATGGGCAAGGTAATGAGTACATTTCTTATCAAGCATTGTTGCCTCCTCCTTTGTTTTTCCCCTACTATCCCACAACTACTGCACCCACCCCCACCCTTCTGCCCCCAGCAACGAGCTTTATACAGTTTTCTCCCTAACTTAATTGAGTGCAGGATCATTTTGTAAGTATAAACGGGGCTTGCTACCTTCTATTTCCCCAGATATCAAGGTCTCAGCTGTGTAGCAGTCAATCTAAACTTCATTTAAGGTCAATTTTTTGCTTTTTTTGTGTGTGTGGGTTATGGGACTTGAACTCTGGGCCTGAGCTCTGTCCTTCAGCTCCTCAGCTCAAGGCTAGCACTCTACCACCTGAGCTACTGTGTTTCTTCTGGTTTTCTGGTGGTTTTGGGGAGATGAGTTTCATGGCCTTTCCTGCCTGGGCTGGCTTTGAACCAAGATCCTCAGATCTCAGCCTCCTGAGTAGCTAGGATTTACAGGCACCCGGCTGCTTTTTTTTTTTTTTTAAAGAAAGGATAGTTGGGAGGGAAAAACTGGGAGAAAGTAGGGAAGGGGTGACATTGTCCAAGAAGAAATGTACTCTTTACCTGACTTAAATAACTGTAAGCCGATTTATAATAGCAATAAAATATATTTTTAAAGAGAAAGGATAGTACTATAAGTTGGCCATGACATTCGTATGGACAATAACTAATGTTCAAAAATGGAAAACATGTATTGGGAAACTTCCTTTGGGATTAAAATATTAGAATAATGTGAACTTAATGTGTAGGTTAAAAAAGAGTCACATATCTGATTTTGTAGGCTCAATCTAATATTTTTGAAATCATCTAGTTACATATTTAACTATAGACATCTTGTAGAATGTAAATCGCTCAGAAATATTGTGACTTCTGTTATATCTACAACTCTTTCAGAGAGCTTGAAGTAGCAAATTAAGTCCTTTCGTTCATGTAGACAGAACTGAAGTTTCATTGTTCAAGTATGTTCTATAGATTTCAATTCCTGTAGCGGTTTTAAAATATGACCCAAAATTCTTTGTTGCCTCTCCTTTGACAAGATGGGTATGGGCTGGACTTGGCAACTTGTTTTAATGAGCGGTGGTAAACTAATCTGTAAAGGGATGGTGGGCTACTCATAGATTAGATCATAAATGACATTGCTGTCTCTTGGATTGCTCACTCTGGTGAAAATCAGCTTCATGTTGAGAGAGCACTCCAGCAATCTAAAAGAACATGGGCCCTTGCGTAGAATCCTGCCCTCCTGCCTGTAGCCAGCAAGCAGGTCAACTGTCCTATTAGTGAGCCATTTTGGAAGCTGATTTCTCACAGCTGGTTGACCTCCAGCTTTGGCCCATAAGAATGTTTACTTGGGTGGTTCTGCTTCAAACTCTCTTATGAGTTGCATCAAGAGTCTTCAGGATTTATTCTCTTACTTTTAAGATCTCACTGCATATTTCTCCTACTTGGTCATAGGCACTGTGCTGGAAGCTAAAAGGGAAATGACCATTTATTTATTTAGACAGAGTTGGAGATTAAATCCAGGGCTTCATGTCTACTACTGACCTACACCTCCAGCCCAAGATTTGTATGTGTGTGTCTGTATGTGTGTGTGTGTGTGTGTGTGTTTGTGTGCGTGTATGTGTGCCTGTACAGGGACTCACATTCAAGACCTTGCATTTTTACTTGGCTTTATTTTTTTTGCTGGTCCTGGGGCTTGAGTTTAGAGATTAGGTGCTGTCCCTGAGCTTCTTTTTGTTTAACGCTAGTGCTCTACCTCTTGAGCCACATTGCCAATCCTGGCTTCTTCTGAGAAGTTTATTAGAGATAAGAGTCTCATGGACTTTTCTGTCCAAGATGGCTTTGAACCATGATCCTCAGATCTCAGCTTCCTGAGTAGCTAAGCTTACAAGCATGAGTCACTGGTGCCCGGCTAATTGGTGGCAGATTTTCTATCTCCATAAGTCCTGTTATTTAAAATATGGTGTGTGTGTGTGTGTGTGTGTGTATGTGTGTGTATGTGTGTGTGTGTGTGTAAGATTGGGATGATTGGCACATGGAAGTTGTTTTTTTTTTTTTTGTCAGTCGTGAGGCTTGAACTCTGGGCTTGGGTGCTGTCCCTACACTCTTCAGCTCAAGGTGAGCGCTCTACCACTTGAGCTACAGCGCCACTTCCAGTTTTCTGGTGGTTTATTGGAGATAAGAGTCTCACGGACTTTCCTGCCCAGGCTGGCTTTGAACCGAGATCCTCAGATCTCAGCCTCCTGAGTAGCTAGGATTACAGGCATGAGCCATCGGCGCCTGGCTGGATGTTCTTTAGACCAATCTTTTTACTTTTACATATGTTCAATTTTGTATTTATAATTTTTTTTTGACAGTCTAGGGCTTAAACTCAGGATCTCAGGGTCTTATGGTCTCATTCTCTTAGCTTTTTTGATCATGACTCCTACTTGAGCCATACTTCTGCTTCTGGGTTTTTTGTTTTTGTTTTGCTGGTTTATTGTAGATTAAAAGTCTGAAGGAAGTGGTGTGGTAGCTCAATTGGTAGAGTGCTAGCCTTGAGCACAAAGAGGCTCATGGACAGCGCCCAGGCCATGAGTTAAAGCCCACAGCTGACCAAAGAAAATAAAAAACAGAAACAAAAAATCCTGCATTTCTCAGGCTGGAAATGTGGCTTAGTGTTAGAGTGCTTGCCTAGCATGCATGAAGCCCTGGGTTTGATTCCTCAGTACCACATAAACAGAAAGGCAAGTGCTAGCCTCGCTCGAGCACAAGAAGCCCAGGCCCTGAGTTCAAGCCCCAGGACTGGAAAAAAAAAAAGTGATCCCCAAACCCTCAGCTGTTCATGTTGACTCTAGAAGAAAAAATTTATAAAAATGAAATTAATCACAGGCCAATGGTTGGTTGTAGATGAGCATGGATGTGTTAGCTTTCTGTCACTATAATGAAATATCTGAGTTAATCAACATGAAGAGAAATGACTGACTTTTGGGCCACAGTTTTGGAGGTTCTAGTTCATGATTGATTGGCCCTGTTTTTTTGAGCCTGTGGTGCATCATGGTGATAATTTTGCTCACCTCTTGTCTGAGAAGTAAAAGAGAGAAGAGGAGGTTGGTGTTTCATAGTCCTCTTCAAGGGCACGCCCCCAATGATCTAAAGACCTCCCATTAGCCCTTGCTTCTTTTTTTTTTTAATTTTAATTTTAATTTTTTGTGAACGTACTGTACAGAGGGGTTACAATTACATGGGCAAGATAATGAGTACATTTCTTATCAAGCATTGCAGCCTCCTCCTTTGTTTACCCTTCACATCCCTTCCCAGCCTCCTCCCACCCCTTCCCCCAATCCCCCCTCCCCCACCCGCACCAAAGTTGTAAAGTTCGTTTTTGACGTGACAACTTGTACTTCTCATAGTTGCATCGGGTCCACCTGTATCCTTAAACGACTTGTTTTTCCCCATCTCCTCCACAAATTATACCGACATCAAAGCCCTTGCTTCTTAAAGCTTTCAACACTCTTTTATCGAACCACTGTGGAGGCCAGGCCTTTAACACAGGAACCTTTGGGAATTTTAGGATGCAAACAATGGCAACATATCTTTTTGCTTTTTGTAGATTACATTTCAGAAGAAATAAGGGATAAGGAATTCTCTCTCTTCAACAGACATGCAGAAGATGAATTAACTACTCAAGCTGAAGAAATAATTCAAGAAACAGTTAGTCCAGGTAATAATACCTATAGCATGAACTAATAATCCAGTACAGATGATTGCAGACTATCTTGTACCTTTCATAGTATTTTACCCCAGGAGACATCAGCAAATCTTCAGTTTACATACAAAAACATATTGGCTGCAGTTAAAACGATTAAGTAAGGTGTATGTGGCTCACTCCTTCCTGTAATCCTAGCTACTCGAAGACTGAGATTTGAGAATAGTGGTTTGAAGCCAGGACAGCAGGAAAACCTGCTTGACTTTCTTTTGGTCATTCATGGGGCTTGAACTCAGGGCCTGGGTGGTGTCCCTGAGCTCTTTTGCTCAAGGCTAGCACTCTACCACTTAGAGCCATAACTCAAAGTTATTGAGTGGTTAGTTGGAGATAAGAGTCTCATGGGGACTTTTTCAAATCACAATGCTTAGATCTCAGTCTCCTGAGTAGGTAGGGTTACAGGGATGAGCCACTGGTACCCAGCTTGTTTGACTCTTATTTCCACTTAACCAGCAAAAAGACAGAAGTGGAGCTGTGGCTCAATAATAGAGCATCAGCCTTGAGTAGAAAAGCTAAGGAGCAATGTCTAGGCTCTGAGTTCAAGCCCCAGTGCTGGCACACATATACACACCAAATATGAATTAAATAAACTCTAAGGTTTGACCATTTTTTTTAAAAAGATGCTACTTTATATTGTTTCCACACAGACAAGGCTGTTTTCAAAACCCAGAGATGTGTTTTACTAATCTCTTAGACATCTTTCAACTCAATCAGGTTGATAAAATTAACCTGTACATATACTCCAGCAAGGAATGAAGCTGGTAGGGCAGAGAGGAGGGGCACCAGAGAAGAGTTGTTTTTGTTTTATTTATTGTTTGAGGGTGCTGGGGATAGAACTCAGATCTTTGTGCATGATCTCACCTCTACAAATTGTGATTTATTAAATCTCCTTTTCCTTCTCCTTTTTTTTTTTTGCCAGTCCTGAGGCTTGAACTCAGGGCCTCGGCAATGTCCCTGAGCCACTCTATGTTCAAGGCGCTCTACCACTAAGCCACATTCCCAGCCTCTTCCCCTTTTATGTTTTTTTTTTTGGTCGGTCATGTGGCCTGAACTCTGGGCCTGGACGCTGTCCCTCAGCTCTTCAGCTCAAGGCTAGCACTCTACCACTTGAGCCACAGCGCCACTTCTGGCTTTTTCTGCTTATGTGGTGCTGAGGAATCGAACCCAGGGCCTCATGCATGCAAGGCAAGCACTCTACCACTGAGCCACCTTTCCAGCCCCGGCCCCCTTTATGTTTTTGTTGGTCGTGGGGCTTGATCTCTGAGCCTGGGTGCTATCCCTTAGCTCTTCAGCTCGAGGCTAGCACTCTACCACTTAAGCCACAGCGCCACTTCCAGTTTTCTGGTAGTTTATTGGAGATAAGAGTCTCACAGACTTTCCTGCCCAGGCTGGCTTTGAACCGTGATCTTCAGATCTCAGCCTCCTGAGTAGCTAGGATTATAGGCGTGAGCCACCAGTGCCCGGCTCCTTCCTTCCCCCCCACTTTTTTTTGTATTGGTATTGGAGCTTGAACTCAGGTCTTGGATGCTATCCCTTTGTTCTCTGTGGTAGAGTGCCAGTACTACTTCCAGCTTTTTGATGGTTAATTGAAGATAAGAGTCTCACAGATTGTCCAGGCTGCTGCAAACTGTGATTCTCAGATCTCAGTTTCCTGAGTAGTTAGAATTACAGGGGCAAGCCACCAGCACGTGGTCTGAGCCTTCTTTTTGGCTGCTTTGTTGTTGGCCAGCCCAAACTTTTGGCATCTCACTTTACCTCTGGACAGCATACATATGGGTCTATCGCCCTAAGCAATGCCAGTCCTTCCTGCAGTTAGCAGTTAATAGGCTAGCTAGCCACCAGGTTGTCTTTGCATTTGCTCCTGGTCATGGGTGACTGGGCAGGGATGTACATGGGGTCAGCCCTTAGTCTACTCTGCCCTGTGCCTTCTTATTTAGATATCCAATATAGGAGTCAGCCGTGTGGGCAACTGATGCGCTTCCTACAGAGGAATATCATTACAGCCGCCATTGCAGTGGCCTGCATCCTAGCCATCATCGTGCTGTTGCTGCTCATGCTCTCTGCATACCTCAGAAGGAAACGCCCATTGTGAGTGGCTCTCTATACCCACTTCTCTTCCAAGAACACATGAGTATTTGGATCAAAGCTGCCCCCAGTGTTTCCTGTGGAGTGCAGATCTAGGAGGAGAGCAGGAATCACCACCTCCTTTTGTGCTTGTCACCTGACATACTCCAACCTGCCAGGGCAATTGATTTTGGGCATTGCCTGGTGATTCTGATGCTCACCCAGGTTGGGGGAAATCTGGCTTGGTCTAAGGTGGTTTCCTTAGGCCATTAATGATTTGATCACATGCTCCCCATATTGAGCGTTACTCAGGAGGAGGTGATAGAACCTCTGGCTGGAAAATTGGAATATGGGTATAGAAAAGAAAGGCTGAATGCAGCAATAGGCAAGTAAGGAAAGATGAAAGCAGGGCTGACTGAAATTCAGTTGTTCACCCTGAGGTCAATTGTGCTAGTTGTTACAATATAGAAGGGAGGTGGCTCAACAGCCACTTCCTGGAACTTCCCAGGGACTGTAAAATCCCCTTGATCTTATGCTTGGCATAGTAGGGCTTTAAGAGACAAGACTGCAATTGTGGCCACTTTGCTTCCCATGTCAAATATTCTGATTATCCTCCTGGACAACTAGGCTCCAGTGCTGAGATAAGAACCTTTAGCAGGCACTGGGAAACAGATAGTTTATAACATTAGGTTTAATTGCTTTCAAAATTATGAGACTCGTTTTGCATCCCCAGAGGGAAGAACAGTCTTTCAGGCCTCTCAGGTTCTGCCCAACTCTGTGTTGGGCAGGGAAAAGGGGACAGAGGTATGTGAGGAGGGATGGTGTCCATTTCCCACTTATATGTCTCCTTCTGGTTCTGAAGCTACAATATTTACATTTCTCCATAGGAATGCATTGCTGAGCTAGGCTCAAGTGGCTCATGCCTGCAATCCTAGCTACTCAGGAGGCTGAGATCTGAGGATTGCAGTTCAAAGCCAGCCCAGGCAGAAAAGTCAATGAGACTCTTATCTCCAATTAACCACCAAAAAGCCAGAAGTGGAGCTATAGATCAAGTGGAAGAGTAACAGCTTTGAGCAATAAAGCTCAGGAACAGTGCCCCAGTTCTGAGTTTAAGCCCCAGGACTGGCAAAAAAAAAATGGCATTGCTCTGGACACCAGCAGTTTATGCCTAGAACTCTAATGACTCACGAGGCTGAGGTTTGAGAATAGGCTTCAAAGTCATCTTGGGCAGGAAAATTTATGAGACTCAGCTCTAATTGACTAGCAAAAAGAAACTGTGGCTCAAGTGGAAGAGTGTTAGTCTTGAGCAGAAAAAGCTAAGGGATAGCACCTAGGTGCTGAGTCCAAGCCCTAGTATTAGCACAGACAGACAGAGAGACAGATAGACAGAGAGACAGACAGACAGACAGACAGACAGACAGACAGACAGACAGACACACACACACACACACACACACACGTGCGTGCACACAGAAAAAAGAATGGTATTGCTTTTCCTAAATGCCAAGGCTCGTGCCACTGGTCACTCCTTCAGGCCCTACATCCAAGTTCTGATTCAAGAATGGAGACAAAGAGGGAGAGTAGCTTGGATATGATAGAAATTAGAGACAGAGGATTTAAGTTCTCTTGAAAATAAGCTTGGCCTGTTTCACAACTCTGCTGGGCCCATTGTTTTCCCTTTACGTTCCTTCATGTACCAAAAGAAGGGTGGTGGTCGGCTGAGCACCGGTGGCTCATGCCTATAATCCTAGCTACTCAGGAGGCTGAGATCTGAGGATCACGGTTCAAAGCCAGCCCAGGCAGGAAAGTCCGTGAGACTCTTATCTGTATGTCAACTCTTCCTGATGTAAGAGGACAGCTCTGATCCTTTGGAAATATCAGCCTCTATCACTGCCCAACACATGTGTACTAGGAATTCCTGTATATAGAATGAACAGTGTCTTTTTTCTTGCTCTGTTTTAGGTGTCCTCCAGCAAACATGACATACAATATTTTTATAATGAATGGAAAGAGTTGGTGGCAAAAGTCTCAGGACAAGACTCTCAGAAAATTTAGGGGAAGAGTGAATAAGCTGAAGAACTGTTCCTGTGTCTAAGCCAGGTGAGGGATCAACCAGTCCTGGACTCACAGCTGAGATGGGAGCATATACTCAACCCAGACACTATGGAGAGGCCAATTCAATTTGTGGCTAAGAAGTGTATGCTACAAAAACATGTACCTTCTTTTCCCAATCTTGAATGGCCCAAGAAAGAACACTTTGCCAATGGATGCTTATGGTGGTATGGTATAGGGAACTTAGCACATTTACCCAAAGACAAACCTAACAAATAGGTTTATGCATTTAATAAAAGCACTGACTCATTTCTTAAGCCATTCACTGCACAGACGTTGATTGAACAATTGATATACAGACTATCAAAATATGAGGGAACGGGGCTGGGAAGGTGGCTCAGTGGTAGAGCGCTTGCCTTGCATGCATGAGGCCCTGGGTTCGATTCCTCAGCACCACATAAGAAAAAAGAAAAAAGCTGGAAGTGGCACTGTGGCTCAAGTGGTAGAGTGCTAGCCTTGAGCTGAAGAGCTGAGGGACAGCGCCCAGGCCCAGAGTTCAGGCCCCACGACTGGACCCCCCCCCTGCCCCAAAATATGAGGGAACTAAAGATGAGTCAGACATGGTCTCTGCCCCATGGAAGACTACAGTATTGTGCTGGGATGTGATTCAATTGGTAAGTACTTGCCTAGTGAGGACTGAAGTCTTGAGCTCAAACCCTAGTACCACCAAAAGAGAAAAAAATCACAGTGTGAGGGTGGTGTGAGAGCATGACCTTACCAAATATCTTCTGTCCTTTTGAAGTCAAAATATATGAAAAATTTATTTGGAAACTAGGAAGAATTTTGAGAGCTCACCAATGGAGGGTATTTTCTGCTTAAAGGATCGGGAGGGTTTTATTTATTTATTTTTGTCCATACTAGAGTTTGAATACAGGACGTTGCCACCATCCCTGAGTTTACATTGGTTTTTTGTTTCTTTTTCTTTTTCTGCTCATCTGGTGCTCTATAACTTGAGCCACACCTCTCCTTCTAGCTTTTTAGTGGTGAATTAGAGATAAGAGGCTCATAGACTTTCCTGTCCAGGATGGCTTGGAATCACGATTCTCAGATCTCAGCCTAGAATTATAGGTATGAGTCACCAGCACCCAGCTTTGGATCAGGAGAGTTTTAACAAGAAAAGTAACTGGGGTAATTGGAAATATAAGGAAGGGGACTTATTTATAAAGTTGTGAGCAGAGTGGAAAAGCACCCTGGAGCAAGCCAGAGTGAGAAGCTGTTACCCTTAAGGGTGAAGCAAAGACCACGGAGGGCTAGGGATTAACTCAGTAGTAGAGCACCTGCTTAGCATTGATGAGGCCCTGGCTTCAATCTCCAATGCTGAGAAAAGAAAGGAGAAGAAATGGGAATCTCTAACATGCTATACACTTTGTGAGAGGAATGTAAGTGGATTGTAACAACCCAACATGAACAGACTAGGGGACTCCACACTCCAAACTCAGGGTCTTTCTGCCCTGCAATCTCCTCCAAGCTTCCCAACAGGAAGCTAGAAGGTAAGGGCATAAACTGGAATTCATCGGCAATTAGACAAGAGCAGGTTGGGAGGAGGGCAAACTGAAAATTCCTAACACAGTCATCACTTTGGTGTTATCTGTCCTTTTTAATGAATGAAAACTCCAAATTTCACGCCTCATCTCCCACAAGTGACAAAAAGAAAGTCCCAGGAGCCACATGCCATTGAAGAGTGAGGTCAGCACAACCTGAAACTTAAAGCACTCACCACTGCATGGCTTTTCGTATAAGGAACTGGGAGAGGGAAGTGAGCATGACAGCTGCAATGGTCTCTGATTTAGTGTTTCCTCTGCCTGCCCCATGTTGCTCTGTCTTCCAGCACTTTGGCTACACAGGTTCATTTCCTGGGGGGAATTTTCCAGGCTTCCATGTCTTTTTTTGTGGGGGGAAGGGAGCAGTCACTGCAGTTTTCTGATGACAATGGATCCTTAGATATGATGCTCTTGTCCTCTCCTGAATCTCTGGTATATTGATGAGGTCTTTCTGAATCTTCATAGACAAACACAGCTTCCCTGAGGGGAGCAGGATCATTCGCTCCAGGGGATGCTGTAACCTCTTCCTTGGTCTGATATTTCACTACTTCAACATTACCACACTGAAGCTCTCCTTTCAAAATATGAACCTTTGTGGGGAGACACTCAAGTAATATCTAAATCAAAGCAGTAAGCTCAGTGGTATTGGTTACCAGGTATTGGATAGATAGGATAAGATCCTCTTATCTACTCCTGTGGCTTCAGTGTCCATAGCAAATCCAAGGTAAGTATTTTTGTGGAACAAATATTCTCACATTTTACACACACTGAGAACTCTTATGTTTTCCTTCCCAGTCCTTCTTTTTTTTTTTTTTTTGGGTCCAGTCGTGGGGCCTGAACTCTGGGCCTGGGCGCTGTCCCTCAGCTCTTCAGCTCAAGGCTAGAGCTCTACCACTTGAGCCACAGCACCACTTCCGGCTTTTTTCTTATGTGGTGCTGAGGAATCGAACCCAGGGCCTTGAGCATGCAAGGCAAGTACTCTACCACTGAGCCACCTTCCCAGCCCCTTCCCAGTCCTTCTTGATACCAGCCTTCCAATTCTGTTCTTTCCAAGTCCCTATCTGCTAGCCAGCCCAACAGTTACCATCCACAAATTAATGTAAAGCAGTGACACTCAATCTGGGGTCGTTGACAAATGTCCAGAGACATTCTTGGTTATCTCAATTTTGGTGGGGGAAAGATTTCTAGCTTTAGATGCTGTTATACATCTTATGATGCATAGGATAAGACTCTTCCCCAGAAAGGAATTAGGAATTATCCAGCTGAAAGAGTCAGTAGTCCTGAATCTGAGCCTTGGTGGAATGCCTGGACAGCTTCACTGTGATGCCCTTATCACCGTCACCCAAGGCTCCTTCTGATTGAGCCTGCCATATAACTTCTGTCCACTTCTAGCTGGGGCCTGTAGAATCACTTGTAACCCAGACCTGAATATTTTCCTCTTCTGCTAACTGACCAGAAGAACAATGTCAATTCAGTGAAACCATAGGAGCAGGCACTAGGGATCTAAGCCACCTGCTGACATTGGATGGTTTGGCCTTTGGGACTCGTAAGCTTGTGCATATAGTCATGTGCAGGGACCAGTCTGAGAAATGCATCATTCGCTGACTTCATTGTTGATGAACATTAAGGAGAGTACTTACACAAGTTGCATCTGACTTCACTAGTTGATGTAATCTTTGGAAACCACCATTGTATATTTCAGTCCATTGCGTCATGATGCTGTGTGTGTGTGTGACTGTGTATCACTTCTAGTTACTGTGAAATATAATTTAGTGGACCAGATAATAGTCAGTTTGGGTTGTTTGGGCAGTTTGGGCACCCTAGTCACTTGTCCTATGGTCTGGTGTTCAATATCTCCCAAAACTCAATCATAAGCCAGGAGCTGCTTTGCAAATAGAGAAACGATGCCTTCAGAACCCAGGCGCCGACTCTGGGTCCATGCAGATGTTCTCTTAACAGAGTTTGCTGGAGGCTTCCTACGGCTTCTCTCTCCTATCTGGCCAGCCACACTGAAGTGTGGAACATGTGGACAAAGTGTATGGCTAGAGGAGAGATGGAGAAATGGGAGCATTTCAGAGTGGCTGAGGCTCAAGGCAAGAGGCCTTTCTCTGATGCTTTGATCTTGAGGGCACGTAGGATTGGTCTAGGTCTAAGCCCCCTGTCAGGAATAGGGAATCACTTGGGGGTGGGATGGCAGTGTGAGGCAGACCCAAGCTGGGCAGTGGGCCCTGATGGTTGCTGTCAGCACATTTATAGTGCCATGGGAACAGCTGATGGAACTGTAGATGTGTGTGTGTGTGTGTGTGTGTGTGTGTGTGTGTGTATTGGTACTGGGCCTTGAACTCCATACCTGGACACTCTTTCTTAGCTTTTTGCTCAAGACTAGCACTCTACCACTTGAGTCATGCCTCCACTTTCAGCTTTATGGTGGTTGGAGATAAGTCTCATGGACTCTCCTCCCCAGGCTGGCTTCTAATCTTAGCCTCTTGAGTCGTGAGGACTACAGGTGTAAGCCACTAGCATTTGGCACTGTGAATTTGTTATGCATATATGGGGCTTTGGAGTGTAGCAGGGAAACAGTGGTCAGGAGGCTCAGAAGTAGTCCAGCCAGGGCTTGGAGGACTCATGGATCATTCCAGTCCCTATGGAAAAGGAATGAAGACAAGATGACCCCAGAAACCTCTGTGCAGTTGTTTGCCAAGTTTCCCAATCCCCAGAAAATCCATTTCTACCAAGTCTAGCCTTTGTGTTCAAAACTTTATCGTTCATGAACTTGGACTGTGCTTCTGTTGTGGCCACATGTGGCCTGATGTGTCAGACAGAGGCCGGCCTTCCCAGCTCCCATTCAGAGGCTTGGAGAGGTAAGAATCCTAGCCTGGATTCTGATCTTGTTCTCAAGCATCCTCTGCCCACTTACGGTATTTGTGCATCTCTTCTGCTGGCCCTAGAATGGTTCAGGCCACTTCCTGTCTCTCCCATGTTCCCTGCTTGGTAGTTTCTTATGGAGAGTTCTGAATCCCAAAGCCCTCACCCTGGTGGCTGTGTCTTCCTCCCAACATGTATTCACACCAACCTAAACTCACCTCAGATGCTTAAAACACACAGAAAACCTGGCCATACCACCCCATCTTCCCCCAAGCACAAATAGGCAGAGATACACACACACTGCCCCCAAATGCCCAGATACTCATTCACACACACACAAAGATGTGTTTTGTTGTCACACACAGGAACACCTACTGTCACAATACGCATACCTGGACAGTCTGAGTCATCATGGTCCCCAGCCCAACCATGAGACAGTCACACAAGATGAAATCCCAGTGTCACTACCCTATGCCCCATGGAAGGAGACTCAAAAGGGCTCTCCCTAAAGAGCCACTGTGGTTACAAAAAACCAGACTATGCTTAGCTAGAAGCCCTGGCTATCATGTCCAGTCTGCCCAGGCC